GACGGCTTCCTGGCTAATCAGGAAGCTGGGCATCGAGTCATTACATGCCACCTGGCTTCATTTATAGGACTTTCAGTATAGGTATCGGCGAGTACCGGAAAAAAATATCAGTACTCGTATTCGATATCGAGAAAACGGTATTGTTGCATCCCTAGTTTTAATACTTTCTGAAACATAGAATTAGATTTTTTTTTTTTATGTGACCCTTAAAGCCATTCCTTGCCTCAAGTGTAACCTCTGATCTCGCCAAAGATCTGCACATTATATTCAGTATATATAATGTTAGTAAAAACCATCAGACACTGCAAACCCATAACAGGAAATTGTCTGTAGTTCCAGGAGACAGTGTTACATCAGACCTGGAGGTAACACCTAGTGCCTGATGTATGTTCAGAGGACCCAAGCACCCATCATTTTCCTGCAATAAACCATGTCAAAGCTGTGCAGCTACCTGTGACTTTGTAAGGGAGTATTCACTTATAGGCAGTTTGTGTCTTATTGGAAGAGAAAGGGGAGGGGCATTCCAGTACAAAACATGCAAACTGGTCTATTGCAATCCTTTCCAATGTCTAAGTCCTAATTCTGCTCAATTCCTTCTTTATGTTACATGAGACTACTAACAGCACCATAAAATAACTGTTAAACTTCCCTGCAACAATATCCTTTGCAAGCCATTATAAGTAATTGGAGACAAAACACATAAAATATAAGTGGAAATGGACAATGCCAGAATGATATGAAAATGTAAAAAAAAAATGTGTTTGTTTCTTTACTGGCCTGAGTTCTAGTGTTCTGTTCTAGTTCTGGCAGTGTAGGTACCGTGGTATGGTGCACCAACTCTGGCTCTTCAGTTGATGTAGAATATGGCAGTTTCTGCAGTATGAATATGATGCTACGCAGAGCACTGTCTCTGATTTCCTCATTAGCAAAGGACCTAGTGCAGTGCGGAAGTGTTCCTGCCATTCTCTATCAGAGCCAAAGAAGAAGTCCAAGAACACTTCTAATACTGTTTCAGGTCAGGCAGAATAAGCCCTTAGGCAAGGAAAACATGTACTACTATCTGCAGGGACCAACAGCTCAAGCCAAGGAGAGCCACAGGTTAAACATTAGGGCTCTATACTCTTCCTTGCCTTCCTCTAGTTTTATTTCTTCAGCTTCTTGCGATAACAGGTAAAGTTTTACTAGGTCTCCTGCAATCTGTTTAGTATTACTGTAGCATCTGGTCTGCTTAGTGTCAAAGCAGAACTAAGGCCAAAAGTCTTCTTTTTGGATAGCACAAGGGTGGGTTATAAACCCTATTGACTTTTTTGCTATCTGTGTCCCATAGAGGAGATTGCCCTTCACTTCCTGTGCGATAGCCACAACAGGAAGTGAGAGAAAATGCTTTTAAAAAGAGGAAAATCCTTAGTGATCAGCAGGGTCACTAGAACTAGTGTCCTCCATTGGAAGATTCCCCATGTATTCCTGTTCTGATGACCATGCAAAATTTGGAATGTATTTTAACTTTTAGTAATAACGGTCACCAGGACAAAAACAGGGGGTGAAGCTCCCTAAAAGGTGCACAGACAGCAATAAAAAACAAACAGGTGTTCTAACCTCTCTCCATTCTTTCCGAACCGAAAAAAAAGTTGGCTTCAGTTGCACTGAAGGCACAGTTTTATGTTCCAATACAATACATAACTGATGAGCACGCAATAAGAGGACTTGGAACAGTTATACAGTACAATTTTATTTCTAAGTGAAACTGGTTCTTTGCTAATCCCATTTACTAGGACCACAGCCTTGCCAAGTGAAGGGTTTTCCATTTAGAATAGAATCAATCATTTCTGTAGAAAGTCTTTCCATATACATTGCCTGTGATTAGAAATGATTGTCTGACCATACTGCAAACTCATTCCTAAATTATACCGTTTTACCTTATACAGCTGTTTTTAAACAGAACGTGAGTGAAGATTATTTGTAAGTAAAATTATTTATAAGACGTCCATCTTTTAAAGCTAAACTCAAGACAGATACCAAAACAAAAATGTATTACTTATGTTTTTGTAAGATCATCTTTACGTTTACATATAACTAACAGAACTACATCTCATTTGATATCAGCTACCTGTACGGCTCTGTGAAGCGGCACTCAGACTGTAAAAGGGAGAGGCAGGAGCCAGTCAAAGCTCTATCCTGCTTAGGGAACTTGTTTACAGGGAGGGAAAGCTCAGGGATGACACCCTCAGTGTGCTGCTGCTCTTTCAGTGACCCCTCACAGGCTAGGGTGGGTCTAGGGTCTGATTATATTTTAGTTTTTGGTAGCGGCAGGGAATTATACTTACTTATGGCTTCTTTTGTCTCTCAGAAACTTTGATGACGAGGTCTCTGTTCTTGACATCCCAGGTTTGCACACCTTCCATGACAAATAGAGGAAAGTCCCACTCTCCTTGCTGTATTTTATATTTATTTTGTGTTTTGGGGAATTCAACAGATTTAGCAAGGATCAATGGGACAACCATTGATCCTTGTGGCAACAAGAGGATCAGGATGCTATCCTGGATGAAAACTGTGCTGGGCACTTTGGTGCTGAGATTTCACCATTTCACTTTCAAGGAGAAATACAGTCAGTGGGTCGATCAGGTTTTTAGACTGCAACCGTAGTGGTAAATTAATATCAACATTTATTAGTGAACATTAGTGGGTTAAGTCATGCTTCATCATAGTAGAGCGCATTGACAGAGGGATTGACTCTGACCCCTAAGCTATAAGCCATAGCTTATTTGATTTTGTGCAGATGATTAGGGTCACACTTTCATGGTTATTCACAAAAGGGTGAAGAGTTTGGAGAAGACAGGATAAGTGAACAATCTAGGACAACATAGCTGCAATGGAAAGGGAGCTGAATTGGATAATTTTTCCAAATCAGCTATTTTGGCCTAGATTTTTCACTTCTCCTGCCTTCTCCAACCTCTTCCCCCTTTTGTGAATAGCCCTGTTTGTTTAATTGTTTGAAGGAATATATGGGGAAATCAGATGTACTGAGTGACCACATCCTTTAAAGCAAACCTGGGTGGCTGAGTAGCCAATCACCAAGCACCAGAACTGTCACATTGGAAAAAAGGGAAGTAAATAACGTGTTCCCCAAACCTGGAACTACCAGGTATTTATCTTCTCTCCCATTGGCTGTACAGATCAGGGTAGGAGCTAGAGGAAAGTAAGTACAAGTATCTGTTGGGGCTATCATTAGAGTGAATATGTTGCTTTTACCTACGTGGACAAACATATTCACTTTAACTCTTTCGCTACCTTGTAAGCAGACTCCTGACTGTCGACTTTACACTGAAAGTGATTGGGACAGCTGTAAAGCCACCTAAGGTGTCCATCTCCCCTGTCTGACACCCTGTACCATGTATCCCAGGATCCACTTACCCTCCTGTCTGCCCCTGATGGCCATGGCAGGTGTCAGCAGCTAGATCGAAGAGAGAGATCAGCATATATCAGTTCACTGACCTCCTCTCTAGTGAATGAAGCCGGAAGAGACAAAGATTTTGTTACTTCCAGTATCTGAGCTGTCATTCCCCAGTTGCTATGGCCAAGGATGACTCTGATAAAGTACAATCTGTGCTTGATCAGCCTAATTGGAGTACAGAGGTTACATTAGAGGTCCCTTAATTATACCCCTAATATCTCCTTAAACAGAATTTGTCACCACTAATAGGCTTGTGAACCCCCTATGTGATAGCAGTAAATTCAAGTAAATATAAGAAAGGTTTAAAAAAGGTCAAATGCAATAAATAAAAAACCTCCATGTACACGAACATACAACACAAACATGTCAGGTATGCCTATGTACGAAAATGACAATTGCGCCACAAGTGTTGCGCATTGGTATGCATGACAGCAATCATTCTAGGGTTATCATTCACTGATTACTTGTAAAAACTTTTAAAGCCTCACCTATTTTAGGCACCATAGTTTTTCACCATTTCATGGGCGCACACATTTTTGACCCTCGATACGTTTTGTATATATTTACTCATCTTTTATATTCTACCAATAAATTGGGTATTATATTCAGTTCATGAGTTCATGTGCAATAAAATGAATTCAAAGGCATTTTTTACTTACATTTCAGGTTTCATAAACAGAACTAATAATGTGGGACCTAAAAATTGCAGCTGTCACCGTTTTATTTCACAGGGTCTCTGTTTTCAGAAAATATGTCATTCTGGGGAGGTTTACTATTCTTCAGGCCTTCAGGTGCATTTTGACATATGTGCAAACAAATTGCAAAAACAACTCTAACAACAAAAGGACAACTTTATATTTCGAAACCACCCTTCTTAGTGCAGTGCACTTGGTAAAATATTTACATTCCTCCTTGTTCCATCAATGTTTGATATATGGCCCTGACACACAGCCTGAAACGAAGAAAACATACTCAACTGCTTCCCTACTAGCCTCCAGCCTTCCATAGGACTAATGCCTCCATCCTTCCAGAGTACTAAGGCTAACCTATATAAATGAATAGGACCACAGCCCACATGTGCAGTAGGAAAAGTACCCAGTGGGTATGTTTTCTTTTGGCTGCAATAATATATGTCAAAATTATACAAAAACATGCATAGGTGCTCATAAAATCTATCAAAATGTTGAACACTGTTGGTACAGCTAAGTCACATTTACCATGTACATTGCGAGCACATAATTTATCTCCAGTAATTGTCTGGACAGCGGTACTCAGACTGGAAGGTGGACAGCCAGGCACATACTGTATAGTGACAGTGAACATGCTATGAGGAGTGGTGACTTATCAGTTTGCTGTTGTTCCTTCCATCATCAAATTAGCAGACTAGAGGTGTTTTGTTTTCTTGTAGTGGTGGTCAAGGACCTAGATGTGTCCAAAAGTTCCAATTGCATTTCAACTGTGTATTTAGCTGCTTGCCTGGAGTTCAGCTATAAAGAACCAGTCATCCTTATTCTTCTCTCTGCTTTATGTTTTTTTTCTTTTCTTGTAGGAAACTGAACTTTTGGATTTAATTCTTGTGAAAGATGCCAGATGGGGAAAGCATGCACGAACTCCAAAGGTAAGATATATTTGGTACCATTAATAATAGATATTGTTGAGTTGGTGTCTATACCTCCAGGATTTTGCTAGCAGCTACTGAAGCTACCTCAGTGCCTCTACAAGTAACTGTCCCAGGCATATTGTAAAAATTTTTCCTCCATAGATCTCTATAGTGTACATAGCTGTCAGTACTCGCCAAGCTAGCAATAGTGCAATAGTGACATTTGAATTTGAAATAAAAAAAAAGCTACTATATCTGAGGTAACTTATGGGTTTAGAGGACCCTTTCTGTCATCTACTCCTGTCAGCTAATGCACATTTGAGTTGTATCCGTTGCTTACAAAGTGTCAGTAATTAAAGGAGAACTATGAGGTTAGTGATTTTCACTTAACCTCATAGTTCGAGCCGACGTGTGATAATGAATCTGTCACACGTCGGCTCAATAGATCGGGAAGTGAGCGAACACATACCGTTGCTCGCTCACTTCTCAAACATGTCCCTGCAAAGAGCCACGACTGTCACTCACGGCTCTCTGCAGGGATTTCCCCCCTCCCTGCTCCGATCCTCCAGCGCTAACTGGCAGAACGGATGGGGGAGGGGGCGGGCACAGCTGGCTCTGCCTTTAGATAGGCAAAACCAGCTGTCAATCATGAAGCAGAGTGGATCTCGACAGCAATGTCGGGATCCGTCCCGGCTGCGGCGTCTCAGTATACCGCGAGCTGTAGCTCATGATATACTGAGGTTTGGGTCACGGGAGGACGCTAGTTTATGTCCACCCATGACCCTTAGGAGAACTATGGGGAAAAGCACTGACCCCATAGTTCTCCTTTAAAGAAGAACTCTGGTTAACATTTTTATTAACTTTAATTTTTATTTATTAACCCTTACAGTGGGGCTACCCCCCCTCCCCCCCCCCCTTTCCCCAGCACTGCAAGGGTTAAGTGCTCATTTTTGCTTAGGATCAAAAATAGCAAAGTTATACTCACCCGATCCTCCGAAATTGCCGGCTGCTACAGCTCTCCCTCCTACCTGTCCCCTCCGCTGTAGCGATGGTATGTCGCTGGCCAGCCTCACGTCCTATATACAGTGTATAGAACGTGATGATTCCTTAGATCGCTGCAAAGGAGGGGAAGGGGCTCCAGGGACTTGTCTAAGAACTTTTTTTTTATCCTTGGCAAAAATAAGCACTTAACCTTTGCATAAACCTTGGTATTCACCTGGCTAAAAGTAGCATAGAAGTTATATATTTTATATTCTCTTTTATAAATTAGCTGGTATTTTTTATATGTGTAATAGAGTAAGCAAAATATAAATTGGTCATTTAAGCACAAACTGATAATCTAGCCTTTTTTCTCAGTATGAATTCCGAATGTCTTGTGCGAGGATTGCATTCTCAAGTCCCACTACTGAAGACCAGAATGTGACATATAAAACATTTATTAGTTAGTCTCCCCTGTGAAGAGATTTCCTTTTCTAGAACAATCTAAGCACCAGCAGACTGATAGCAGTCATTGCTGGGCAAGTTAACTCCACAGTTAACCCTTTGCACACATGATAGCCACCATCATGTGTGTTATTAGAAAACACACACTGTTTGCAGCATCTACTGTTGGTTGCAATTCTGAACTTTTTAAAAGTGTCCCTGTATCACTCGCTGCCCAGTTCCAGACAGGAATGTAACCTGATAGCATCTTCAAAGAGCCACATTTCTTTTTCATTAGAGCATTCAGAGATTCAGCTAAATATAATTTTAATGTGTGATATTAGGGAGTTCACACAGCACTCGCACAGCGGGTTTTTCAAAACACAAGTCTTTTTTATTTGCTCTTGCAGGGCAGCAGAAAAACACAAACTATGCGCTTATCTCCAGCGAGCGCAGATAACAAAACAAAGACGTCTCACTGACTTGTATACAGTCCCAAACCTGGGGAATCCCTTCCCAGGAATGCTAGTCCTTGAGCAGCTTTCAACTTCACAGCCACACACCTTGTGTGCCTGGCTCTCTCAGGCCCTCTCAGCCTCTCCAAGCCTTCCAGCCCCCCAGGCTGTTCCACCTGCATCCAGCATCACATGCACACAGTCTCCAACTCTGCATGTCAGACTGCACCACTCCCCTAGCTCTGGTCTGAGCTCTTAATGAGCTGATCTCAGCCACATGATGACTGGCAACACCTGACCCCAGGACTGGAGATTTCATCCCAACCTGAACTCTTAAGGTGCCCATACACTGCACGATTCTCGTAGAGAATCGCGGGAAATCCCGCGATCGTACGATAATCGTGCAGTGTATGGAAGGCGTGCAACCGTTTTTACTGTACGGTTGCACGACTTTTGCATTTTGAGCATGTTGGAAAACCAGCCGAGAATCGGACGATTTTCGACTGGTTTTTAGCATGATCGAGAGATAACTGCCGAACGGGCCAGTGTGCGCACGCACATACTGCCCGTTCATCAGTGCAGTCATCGGAAGCGGGCCCCTCAGGGGGGCAGGCTTGCGATGATCGCAAGTACGATCTGCCTGTCCAAGATGGGCAGATCGTACGTTTTTTAAATTACTTTACAACCCCCGCAAGACTTTTGTTGTAAAGTGTATGGGCACCACTAGGCTGGGTTCACAACTGGGCGTTTTTCAGCGCTGATCGAAGCGCTGAAAAACGCTCAAGCAGTGAAATCCTATTAACTCCTATGGACATGGTTCCCACCTGGGCGTATTTCAGCGCGTTTTGACTCGCTGAAAACGCCCTATGCCCGAAATAGTACAGGAGCTTCTTTGGGGCGTATTTCAGCGTGTATCCATTGGTATTCCCGAGTGTGGCTCGGGGTTAACAAAGGGGTAACCCCGAGCCACACTCGGAAATACAGCATAGGCTTTACCTTGTCCGCGATACCTGCTGTTTCCTCCGGCCGTCTTCTGGGTTCCGTCCCTTGCGAGCGTCCGCGTTGCAGGGGGGCGGAACCGGCGGGAAGTTTGAAAGTTTAATAAAAAAACCCTGAAAAAAAGATAGGGAAAAAAAAAATCATACCGCCAGGGAGGTATAAAAATGAGCGTTTCACTGAACTAAAAAACGAGCTGAAAAAACGTGCATAAAATGCGCCTATAGTAACGCCCAGGTGTGAAGCCAGCCTTAGAAATCTCCAGAGATCCAGAGCCCAGCTACAATCCAGAAAAACCAGAAGAAACCGAAAGGCTAACTTCTTCCCTGTACAACTAATCATCTTCTGGAGCCTCTCAGCCCCTCTGGCTGAGAGTCCTGGGTGTCTGTGTTGCTAGCATGTTCCGTGGCATTGCCACGCACTGCCACAAATGAAAAAACAAAAAAAGATGCAAGACCAAAATAACATTAAAAATAAAGGGATTAAAAATGAGTAAGTAAAGTTTACTTGGTCCTTGTAGAGTCCAATTCGCTTGCAAAGTAAGTTCAAACTGATGTATCAGAGCCACTGGCCCTCCGATATGTGACTCTCTTTCTTTCTGTAGTAGTATTGTTGTTAAACAAGAAGTGCAGTTCCCAAATGCATTTTATTGTCCGTGGAGAGGGTATGCTGGTCACCTTAAAGGAGAACTATGAGATGAGTGATTTCCACTCACCTCATAGTTCTAGCCGACCTGTGACAATGAGACTGTCACAGGTCGGCTCAGTAGATCGGGAGGTGAGCAAACACAGTCGGGGTTCCCTCCCCCCTCGATCCTGTCACGGCTCTCTGCCGTGACAGGGGAGGGACCGGATTCCCCTCTCCCCGCTCCGATCTGCCAGCGCTGACTGGCGGAACGGACGGGAAAAGGGGGCGGGTACAGCTGGCTCTGCCTCTAGATAGGCAGAGCCAGCTGTCACTCACGCAGCTGGGCGGATCTTGACGTCCATGTCGGGATCCGCTCCGGCTGTGGCGTCTCAGTATACTGCAAGCTGTAGCTCGCGGTATACTGAGCTTAGGGTAACGGGAGGACGCTAGTTTGTGTCCTCCCGTTACCCTAAGGAGAACTATGGGGAAAAACACTGACCCCCATAGTTCTCCTTTAATGCAAACTATTCTAAATACATCTATATTTCCAGCTGACAAGGTTTTACAATCTGACAACCAACATGGCATTGAACAGAATAAAATTATAATTTGATAGACACTTATGATATGGATTTTATGTGCAGTATGTCTCTCTTAGGAGGTGTAATGTGTCCTATCAGTTTTCTGATGTAGTACAGGTGTGTTTGGTGCCTCACTAATTGGTATTTTTTTATACTGTATATTTGCGACTACATCACAGTAGGAAATATGGAATATGGATAGAGTTTGGCTCAGGATGTGTATTGCACATACTATTTAGCAGGCTATTTATGACCTGGCCAATGTACAACTGGCTATACATTGTACGAATCCATCTTCATCAAGAACTGGCTGAAATTTGCACAGTGGGTGGCCCAGTCACCACCCTTCCATCCGGCATCCCTTGTTCAGAAGATCGAAGGAGCCGGATGGGAAAATTTCAGCAAACTAGTGACAGAAGTGAATCAGTTGCCATCTCTGTTCAGGTATTTTGACATCAGCATCCCCACTTCTGTCAGAATACAAAGAACACAGCGGGAGATTTGTCTACCAGAGTATTTAGCATGGATGGAGAAATCTATTATATATAAATCTATTATATTTTTCATTTTCAGGCTGCAGGTTAAACAAAATAAATAACTAGCTTTAGAGTATTTGCTTTTAACTTGGCCTGTTTTCTGTCAACTGTGCATCAAACTGGTCCATGGTTTGTTAAATGTGTCACCTTCTCTGGCTGACCACCACAGACATGAGATTTAATATGACAGTTTATGTTACCTACTTGTGACTTTTGGGGACACTGAGGGTGGCACTGTGTTCTGTAGGACTCCCAGTAGGAAGAGAACAGCACATTTGGACCTCCTTCTGCCAGATCTTAATGCTGGAACCCTGGAGATCTTAATGCGTGTTTATACACACCACATACCACTCGATACAAAACTTGAATTATATGCTTTTAACAAGTTGCAACATTTTTTA